CCCCAAAACCCCAAAACCCCAAAACCCCATGTATAAATTTATGTTAACCAACAATTTAGTAATAGAATTTAATAAAGAGTAATAATTGAGAATGGAAAAAGCATCTAAGACCGCTATCGATTTCCATAAAATGCTGAAGGAGGAAAAAATGAAAGCAAGCGAAAAACTCTCTCTTAAAGTATCATCAATAACTAATGCCTTTAATATGCTACAAGATATGAGACATATATTGATATTAGATATGAGGCCAAGAGAAGAATTCGAAGAACTCCACATCAGAAAAAGTCTTCACTCGACTTTGGAGAACTATCACTTGATCATTTAATCAATATTTTCAACAAAAAATCCAGACTACAATTCACAATATGAGGGAGATGATATGAAGAGAATAATGTTTATATTCCCAAACTCTGATTGGAAAGCTTATGATAGTGCCATAGGATAATAAATTGTAGAATTAGGTGAACTTATCCTTAAGGCTTATCAAGAAAGGCTGAGTAAAGTATATTTCCTGAAAGACTTTAAGGAGTTCCAGAAGAAATATAGCTTCTTATGTGTTAATGATAGCTCTGATTAGATAAAGCAGATAAGATCTCTTTGTAGATATCCAAGTGAAATTAAAGACAGTTTAATCTATATCGGGAATATGATGAATACGATGGACGCTGGTAATCTTCAAATTTCTTCACTTGGTTTTAAAACCATAATATATCTCACTCCAAAGAGATTTGAACATATAGATAATTTATAAGGGGTAACTACACATTACTTTGAATTATAAGAACCTAGTAAACCCTAAGTACCATTTGATGAGATAATTAAAACAGTACTTGAAGAACTTTAATCAAAAGTGAACTTGCCAATATTGATATTTGATGTAAGTGGTATAATTAGTGCTGCCATTGGAGTTAAAATCATGCTTGAGACTAATAAAGCTTGGTCAAAAGAAATAGCGATGGCCTATATACTCAATAAGAGGTATGAAGCCAAAGACATGCCATCTTGGCTTTACTCTCAAATATTACTAGCTGGCTAAAAGAAATTTAAATCTGAACCATTAATGATGGCACCAGAAGGTCCATAATGAAGCCTAGATCAAGTTTAAATGAAATTTTATTGATTTAGATATATACAGAATATATTAGTTTAATCTCTATTTAAGTAATAGTTGGTTAATTTCATAAAATATAAACTTTAAAGGCATAGTTTAATTATTTATAAACTATTTTCTTACAATTTAATAGATGTTGCTCATTATCTTGACCACATTAATAATCAAAACTGTTATATTTGGCCCGGTGATAATACTTCCTCGTATTAATCATGAAAATTTTCGATGCCTAATTCTTTTAACGATCTTTTATTCATTGAGAATTCTATCGGATTAAGTAATAGCTTATTCTCTTGAGCTTATTCCTTTCTAAGTCTCATTAACACTTCCAATTCTTGCTTCATTTACTATTACTTTTAAAATTTCTCAAGCTTTGACTTTATTTGATATTCTTGATAATCATTTATGCTCCTATTTATAAGCTAATCCTCTACTGTTTTGTTATAATTTTTCTCCTATAGACGTTTATTTCTACATTCTTCAATTTATTTTAGCTGGGAATTTTTTAAATCCTCCTTAAGCTTGATCATAATCTTCTATTTTTCATCTATTATACTTGATTCCCGTTTAATAATTTCCTGCTCTTATTGCTAAACAATTCTATCAATAGAGTTATATTTCTCTTATTCAATTGTAGAATAATTTCTAATACCACGAGCATTATGTGCTTAAATGATTAATTGATTTCTAGCATCTTTAGATTATACCAAAGCTTTGTAGTCATCGGTACTTTTCTTTAACCAATCATCTGTCCTCTTAACTGTCATATAATCTAAAGCTATACTATTTTCATATTCATTTTTCCTTATTCTTTCCTTAGTTGTAATGAGATTTTTAAGCAGATTCTATGTCTCTAACTTCTGCTTTTATAATTCTTACTTCTTTTATTGATCAAGTTTAAATAGTACATGCAAACCTTCAACATTACTCGGTGTTTAGCTATGATTTTGCTACTGTTCAAGAAATTTATCAAGTTTTAAACCTTTCTAAGTTTTGTTTTAGATGTTATATTCTACACTCTAAAGAAGCTATTATTTTCTAATTAACTATTGTTGCTCTTCTTTTTCCTTTAGTTTAGTAATAGAATTATTGATCTAATCACGATCATATATTTTTTGAGAAGAATCAATAGATTATAAGCTTTAATTACGGTTTTATACCTATTACTACAAAAATTGTTTGAGTTCCTTTTGATGCTCTAATTTTTTCAGCTTCTTTTGATATTACTCAATCTAAAACTTTTTACTATCGTGAATTCTCATAACATCCCATATGCTTAATTGCTAATCTTTGTTATTAAGTTTACTGCCATTAGAAAGAATTACAGATTAATTTACTCTCGACAGATCTGATGGCAATTCCAGCTACTAATAATCATTTCTTGTTTAACCATTACTCTCATTTTAATTAGCTCCAGAATTTAAAACTAAACTAGAGTTAAGACTAAGATATCTATCAGATTATCAATCATGGTTCATATATCTTTTGTAGAGACTTTTCTTCTAAAATCTTGATTGATTAGATTGAAGTTGGAATGAATTATTTTAATTAAGTGGTAATTACAAGTTATAAGACTCTTAAGGATTATTAAACCCGTTAATCTTTGGAAGAGATATAGAATTTTAATTGGCATCAAATGATTTATTATCCAACTTTGGAGAAGGCGCGTTATATTTGTCTAATTCTGATTCTTTATTCAAAATATTAGAAACAGACTCTAATTTATCATCAATTAATAAGCGTTATATTGAACTAGCAGGATTAATAATACTTGCTTTAGGATCAGAAATTGTTGTTTTATTTATTGATTTGTATTTGCTTATGCTAGGCTTTGAAAATCTTAATACTGATGAGTTGTTGTCAGATTATTATTAAGATGCAGTAATTTTTGAAACTGTACTAGGATTTTTTAATGAGGTATTCCTTGATTACTTTTTCCTTATCTTGGAATTTATAAAAGAGCTAGAACTTAATTTATATGGCTTATAGGAGGCTTTATCTTCATAGATTTGTTATGAAGGTGATGTCAAAATTTCCTATTTTTTATTATCATCACCAATGCTATTCTAGTTTATCTTTAGCCTTTTTTTAATCATGCTCTCAATCTCATTTAAATCCTATAATAAATCTTAGTAAATATGTGATTTCATTTTATTATGGAATTACTTTAGTTTCTAAATTCTTTTTAGCAATCATTTTAAGTATCTCTGAGTTGACTATATCCTAATTTTGACTACCATATTTATTCAGCATTTGCTACTTGAAATCTCTTAATATGGCTTAATTCTTAAGCTTATCACTCATTTTATTCTAGCTTCTAAAACTTTATTAATTATAATTAAATCATTAAATTATGATATACTGTTTGGAGGGGTTTTGGGGTTTTGGGG